AGTGATTTTGTGATTCTGTGATTCTGTGAATTAACAAACTTCCTAGTTTTTACACGTGTTCAAGCTTTTAGTAAGTGGCAGAGCTGTAATTGCTAATCTGTCTCACTGACGCACTGTTTATACCAGCCAAAGCTTTTTTTTTCAGCACAATAGCTTCATTTGGGCATGGCCCATTTTTCTACACTGAGGAGCCTTTCCTCCAGCCAATCGTTGAAGAACTGCTCAGCAAAATTGTCCCTACAGTCAATTCTTTATTATCTGTACAGGAGGAAACTGTGCAATGTGGATGCGCTAGGTTACGTAAATACATGCAAATCCAACCACAAAGAGTCAAGTTTGGAGCCATCGTGATGTATAAACTATACATCAGATTGGTATTTGTGGATGTAATTGGGCTCTTCCAGAACTTATCAGGTTGCTCAACACACCATCACACAGTTCTCCAGAATCTTTCTAGGCACCCACTTCATTTCTCCCACCATGAATTTTGGAAAATAGATCATTTGTGATGCAGGAACTAATGCCCACTGAGAAATATTGCCTGAGCATCCTGTTGAGTAATGCTGTTGCTTCTACGTAACACAGGGTATGAAGCTTCACGTCAGGAAAAAACATAAAATGTTTTGCTATTTAACTCTCTTCTGTATTTTATTCTTATCAACATATTAAAACACAGCTTGAGTAAGTCACTCACTTTCACCACTTTTTTATACCAAATATTGTTATCAAAGATAAACTTGCAGCAGGATTCAAAGAGTTGGACTTGCACAGGAATCACAGTCAGTTAAGCTAGAGCAGCAGTTGAAGGATACCCATCAGGAGGGCAGAAACCATTGCTGGGACACAACTGAAGGCTGCTCATAGAAAGTGTAATAAACTGTTATTTATCTCAGGACCACAATGCATACTAGAATAGTTCTCCTAGACACAAGTTCTGTAACTATGGCATTCTGAATTTCTAATCACAGTAAGTGTGATCACATACCTATTTTGTTCCCTGTAGAAATACAACCGTACGGTAACAAACAGAGGTCCAAGGATTCTGCTTCCCAAATGGATTCCATAATTCGAAGAATCTAGTAAAAACAAATGTATCCGCTAAGTTATTTCAAATTGTTTGGACATTACTTATTACTCACACAAATAACACTACCCAGACTTCTGAGATAGGGCTAAATTTACTTGTCTATTTTATAGATTAAGAGATAAATACAGGAAGTGTGCAGTCATTCAAGATTATTGGTTACAGAACCAGGGTTTATATTTCCTCATCCATGCTGTGCCCAGGCAATCACTACCGTTTTATAAAGTACTAATAATATATTGTATGATGTCTACATGAGCTGAGATTGAACACATCAGCAAGTAAGTCCATTTTTTCCCATGAATGTCGCCAAAAGTGCTAATAAACCAGTTTTTCAGAACAATCACTGAAATATTACTAGAGCAATGCTATCTACTGATTTCTTTTTAATTTGTAACTTCATCCATTGCATAAATAAATTATAAAAATCTTTCATCAGAAAAACAGGCCATCTTATACTAAATAAGATTCCTTCTCTAGAACACCAAAATGTGAAGTATGTATGCCACATGTCAGGAGAAAACAGAGTAACAGTATGTACTGGGTCTGGCTGGGATGAAGTTAATTTTCCGCAGAGCAGCTCATATGGTGCTGTGGTTTAGACTGGTAATGAAAGCAATGCTGGTAACGCACCGATGTTCCAGCTGTTGCTGAACAGTGTTTGCAGAGCGTCAAGGCTGCCTCTGTTTCTCACTCTGCCCCACTATGACTAGATCAGGGGTGCACAACAGATTGAGAGGGGACACAACCAGGCAGATGACCCGAATCAACCGAAGAAATATTCCATGCTGAATAATGTCATGCTAAGCAACAAAACATAGAGGAAGAGGGTTAGGTAGGTTAACCAACTTTTGTGCAGGAATTGCCTGGGCATTGGTCTACCCATGGGATGTGGTGAGTGACTGCCTTTGCATCGCTTGTCTTGTGTTCTTTCTGTCTTCTTCCACTTCTCCTTTGCTTATTAAACAATTTGTACCTTGGCCCACAAGTTTTCTTGCTTTTACTCTCCCTTTCCTCTTTCCTCATCCCAGTGGGGTTAACACACAACACAGTAACATAAAAAACTGCAGTACAAGAAAGAAGATCCCGTTTCGATGTCAGCCTTGCCATACACAGTTTAAAAAACAAAAAACAACCTCATTTCATATGGACAGTAAAGATAATGTATACACACTTCTAAAAAGTAAAACAATGTAAAAATATTTTAAAATATTCACATTATTAATTTCATACATTTTAGCTGTCGTACCTGTAATATAAGCATGTCCTGACGGAGGTCATCTCCATGTTTGAAGATTATGCCTATGGTTTCATTTGATAGAGTTGTTGGATCTGCACATTTAAACTCAAGCCAGAGGGGCTTTTTCTTAGATGCCATTACTTTACATTTTTCTATCTGTGAAAGACACATTTATTGCTAGCCATCATATTTCAACACCAGCACAACTAACCTTTTTACACACCAGCTACACAGTAGTTTACCAACTTCCAATCAGCTACACCACAAGAAACACACTGAAAGCACATGTAACAAATGGTAACAAATGATACTCAATTGCCACATTGCCTTGGTGAAAATGCACAGTTTTTAACACTGATCATGATAAAGGAAAAATCATGTCTTGATTTTCTGAAACTGGATTCAGCTTGTAAATCTGCTTCAGACAAAAAAAAACCGTTTAAACCAGGAATAAGAGATTCTGACAAAACTGGCATGTATGGACTCTCCCAACAGCACTCTGACAGCTGCTTTGCAAAACGGGAAAATAACCACTGTCCAATGTAATTTACCACATTGTCCACCCTTGTGACTTCTAGTGACCTCAGTTATTCCAGATTGTTTGATTCTATTCAATACCCTTAGCAAATCATTCAAATTCATGGGGAAAAGTGGCATTTGTGAAAGTAATGTAACATAATCACTCATAAAATAACAGAGTAAGTCCTCATTTACTTTTATTACATTTTTAATCTTGAGAAATTCAGCACTGAAACCACTGAAATTGTATTATTTAAAATATTTTCTCAACTAATTATGTCTAATACAACTGTAGTATGTAATTCTATTCTGGAATTCCTGGTTCATTGTTGAACGTTACTATGTACAATAAATCCATCTAAAATAATAAAAGCAATTGTACACTAGTGTTTGAGAGCTAACAGAACTGATGACATCAGAGAAGAGTATTTTGGAATATAGATGCTTCATAGATTGAGGTTCTGAGTTTGTAGTTTAAAAGGAAACAGTTTTCATCACCCTTATTTTTAAAAAGGTTCAAAGATGTTAAATCTTTGAACTTACCAGAAACACTGATTTTGCTTCTAAGATTTGGTTTAGACTAGTCAAATTTCAGAGTTTTAACGTTATGGAACAAGTAGCACTTACTAGAATGAAGATGAAATGAAAGTTTACTAATACAGTTTGTTATAGCAAATATTTTTATTCATATAGTTTGAGGGGGGTGGGGGAAGCTCTAACCCATCAATTTTTAGACATAGCTATCTTCCCTTGTTAATCTATTGCTTCCTTCACCTAGGAAGGTCCTGGTAGGGCTGCATACTTCCTAAGTGAAAGAAAACTAGAAAATCCAGAAAGATGTTTTATTTTGAAATCCACTTTTTGTCAAGCAGATTTTTGTACACAGAAGACTAAAGAGAAAGAAACACAATCAAGAAAATAACATTTAAGAAACCAGAGATTCTGTGTTTCTGAGTCAACAATGTTGACTGCCAGTACCTCAGTCATGTCCAACTGAGAGGTGTTTAACTCTCTCACCTTGAAGGTAGACTAACTTATAGCCTGTCTATCAAGACACAGATTTATTTAGCAGAAATATGGCCAAACCTAGACAACTAACGTAAGTTACCCAAGCAAGTATCCTACTATTCGGCAATTCCTTAGGTTGGATGGTTTGTCTGTCCTTAGCTAAGAGAAAAATCAAGGGATTCTTTTCTTGTAGGGTCCCTGCACATTAAGTGAATCCAAGGATCTTCACTGTGTTTCTTTACCCAAACCTCACATCTCATTGTAGATGCATGAGCCAATTCCCTTTCACTACACATCTCCTGATTTATTAATCCTGTTTTTAACGCTGCAAAACATATGAGTCGACATAAGCAATCTCACCACAGAACAGGAGGAAGCAACACAGAAAAAAACCAAGTGTTTCTTAATGTATTTCTAACAAGATCTTAAAGTATTTTCTAATAAAAGCAACATAGACATCTTGAAAAAACAGAAATAGCTAAAGTAGACATTTTTGTTAGTAAGATGAAGGTCTGGACCTAAACCTTAATGACAGATATGAGTCAGGGTAATACAGAGAAAGTAACAGGAGGAACAGAAACTGATATCCCAAAGTCCCTGAAGTCAGATAAACCAGTTTTATACAGGTATTTAATGTAAAAAAAGTAAATTACCTTGTTAAATTCTAGATTAAACTAATGAAAAAACTGTAATTGCCACTTAGTGATTACGATTTTATGGGTCATTGCATTTTTTTGGTGCATGGTGGCATGTCATTACATTTAGAAAATGCTAACAGCTTTGGGAACAAAAACTTACTGAGTCCATGAAATGTCATCATAGTCACAGTGAAAAAAGACATTTACACATATTAGCAAAAATTTTCACCAAATGACACATACTTGAAAATAGGATTTTTTTTTCAAAAAGGATTTGTAGAAACTCAGAATATACTTACCACTAGGGCTCCTGCTCGTAGCCCAGGATCATATGGAACTCTAAAACTTTCTGGAAGTTTGCTGCTCTGTAGTTTTTCAAGCTTTTGTCTCAGCTGTGCAATAACTGCAATTACAAGTAGAAAAACACAATAAAATCAAAAGTTGGAAGGCAAAAAAGTTTTTGGTAATGAAACTTGTTAAGCATCATGATTTAGCTACGCCCCCTGCCCCGTTTAGCTACTTTTAGAATTGCTTTTCCTTTGATTTGAGGAATGGAGGAACACTCTTTAACTTGCACTATTAATGGTCAGAACTGTTTCAGATACCTAAAGGTAAAGTCTTCAAGCACCTCACAAGTCATGTGCCTTCTACACAGTGTTAGAAGCACTGTACAACACTTGGTGTTCTTCTGAAGACTCAGGAGATGACATTAAAGTGTCACCTTTCATTAAAAAAAACAAAACACAGTACAACACACCAAAAAATATTTCACCCTTGTAACTGCCAAGGAAATGTTGAACTATCTACCCCAAAGGCTCAAAAGGAGGAGGCAATTAAAAGCACTTTGCATTTTCCAATATAATTTCGACGTACCTCATCACTCTTGCAGACAGACTTGTGGCTTTTGAATTCTTGGGAGTCAATTATATTATAATCATAAGGACTCCAACTATAGAGATACTGAATTTCCTATCCTCCTAAAACTGGTTTTATAGTGCAGCCTTGATAATCTCACATCCCAGTAAGAAGAAAATTTTCTGTATATTTATACGAACAAGAATTTTAATGTTCATATATAAACTGAATCTTTTCATACATAAAAATTCAAGCTTCTGAATCTTCAGCTTAGAACAGTATGCATTATACTACATCAGATGCACTTTGTTCATCTCAGCTAGCAGGTGTTAACAGCATAAGCAATACTGCGTATTACCCTTTGTCAGGACAAAGACCTGAACACTCTTCTGAAAGAAATTGCAGCTATACAGCAGAGGCTGCATACATATGTTCGAGTAATTTTTGAGACAAAAATTAAAGTGCAAAAAAAATTGTAATGAGAAAGCTAGACATGGACCTGGATACTTAATATACAAAATCATAAAATCATACAACAAACCATAGAATGGTTTGGGTTGGAAGGGACCTTTAAAGGTCATCTAGTCCAACCCCCTACTGCAATGAGCAGGAACATCTTCACCTAGATCAGGTTGCTCAGAGCCCCATCCAACCTGACCTTGAAGGTTTCCAGGGATGGGGCATCTACCACCTCTCTGGGCAACCTGTGCCTGTGTTTCACGACCCTTGTTGTCAAATTTTTTTTCCTTAGATCTAGTCTAAATCTACCCTCTTTTAGTTTAAAACCATTACCCCTTGTCCTGTTGCTCCGGGCCCTGCTAAAAAGTCTGTCCCCATCTTTCTTATAAGCCCCCTTTAAGTACTGGAAGGATGCAGTAAGGTCTCCCTGGAGCCGTCTCTTCTCCAGGCTGAACAACCCCAACCCTCTCAGCCTGTCCTCATAGGAGAGGTGTTCCATCCCTCTGATCATTTTGGTGTCCCTCCTCTGGACCTGCTCCAACAGGTCCATGTCTCTCCTGGGCTGAGGGCTCCAGAGCTGGACGCAAGACTCCAGGTGGGGTCTCACCAGAGCGGAGTAGAGGGGCAGAATCCCCTCCCTCGACCTGCTGGACATGCTGCTTTGGATGCAGCTCAGGATATGCTTGGCCTTCTGGGCTGCAAGTGCACATTGTTGGGTCACGTCCAGAAAATGAAGACTTTTCAAAAATTGCTATCAAATTAAGAAAGTCAAGTCAAAAGAAGTACTTGAGAACTCACAGAACACAAATGTTACACCTATCCTAAAGGCTTTTAGAAAAGAATTACCTAGCAGTGCAACATGACCAATGTGGTATCTCTCCTGTTAAAAAATAACTGAGTAAGATACAGGAGCTGTTAAGTGGATTTTATACTTGGAAACATTTAAAAAAAAAAACAACCAAACAAAAAAAATACCTAGGCTGTAGTAACTTGGATCATGAAACAGCTTTCTAAAATGTAACTATTGATTTCCTAGACAAATCTAACTTGATTTCAGTAAGTTTCCTCATCGTAATGTAATGTAATTTGAAAACTGTACGCCAACCAATTGAAAGATTAGGAATTAGCTGACTGTAAAACACAAGTGAAGGGGCTTGCTAAGACAATTTCATGTTGATCTGGCTTAAGAACAAAGTGCTATGCATTTTAAGAAAAGAAACAGCTACATATACACATTCTTAGGAGACAAATCATCTAACAGAGTGGTGATGAAAGCAGCTAATCCTATGCAAGCTGTAATACTATGATCTTAAGAATTTAATTATTTATTCTTACTCACTATGTTCAAATATAAGGAAAGAGATTACATGAAAAGTGAAAGAAACAGTTTGACAGCATGATTGCTACTGGACTAGTATGAACCTAACAGGAAGGAATTTATTCTTTTAAAAAAACCACAAATACTGGAAGAAGAAAAATATATGGAAGAATTAGATGTCATTGCATGACAGAATGAAACAGTCTGAAATATTCAGACTGAAAATATAAGCAACTATAAGCATTAGAAGTTATGGGGCAAAAAAGAAACAATAAACTAAAGAAGAAATTTTAGGATATACATTTTTAAAAATGTAAGAAGTAGAGGGTGCCTGTAAGAATAATCATATCCTCAATAATCTGAGAAGAAATTAAATTAGATATAACATTAGTAGGACACTCCACAATTTCAGGAAGCCTTCTTTGGTGAAGATGTCAATTATATAAGTCATCTTTCAATGTTCTCCTGTATGTTACATACAAAGATTCTTTAACACCCACCAGGTTTTGATGTGATTGCTTTCTCTTGAAACTTTTCTTTGCCCACATATCCTTCAAAGATAATGTATTATGGAAACCACTGCTGTTACAGACATGTACATCTGCAAGGCTCTAAAGTTTCTTTCCAAAATTCGTGATTCTGACCAAAAATATTTAGATTATAGAGCATTTTAAGATAAATTTTAGAAAGTTGTTTAGAAATAGTATTTTATAAGGGGGTTCAGTTAAGTCCCCTAACTCACATTATGTGGTAATGTAACTGATATTACATTATACATTGAAGAATACAGGCATATGTCCTTCAAATTTCTTTTGAAACACCACCACAGTCACTTCTGCATTACCAGAGCGGAACAGCTTTCCGAACCAAAGACTTCCTGTCCTAGAACACACCAGGCTGAACACAGGAAGAGCTGGTCTCTCTGCAGCTTTCATAATATGGATATTGCTGTATGTCTTCTTGCACTTACTCCCAACACAAAGCAACTAACAGGAATGATGACAAACTAGCTTTTAAGGAAGCCAAGGAGCGGGGAAGGCAGGCAAAACCCAGAGGTAAACAGGCATTGCATAACCCTGCTGTGGCTTCCAAAGCAGTGCTTACAGGAACTAGAAATAACAATACCACATCTGTGCCTCACAGGACTGCTATTCAGCACATTGCAAACCCCCAAAGATGTGCTCTGTATATTCACTGCTGATCCACCAGCTACTTTTGTGGCCCAGCAGAGGCTGTACTGGACTCCTCCCCCATCTTCTTGCCAAGAGTCTTTTAGTGACTGCTTAGAGTAAGGTTGTGTTTCCTGGCAAGTGTTGCTTTTTCTCTTTATTTCCAGTTAATATTTGTGTCCTGGGATTGTTTATTTTTCAGTGCTGGCATACAGCTAAGGGTACAAGAACTTAACTTTCCCAGTTGCATGGCTGAGGTTCAAGAAGATAAGCCAAAGCATGGGAATGTAGTGGCTGTCTGTAATACTGATATTCCTCCTTCTTTGGGGTGGGACAAGAAAACAAATGTATTATTGGTTCAATCACTATCAACTTACACTGGCACTTTATAAGATGTAATAATGGTGCCCTTTGACAGTAATTTATCCATGAATTTTCTAAATAAACAGTACACTTTGCTGCGTAGATTCTCCCCCCACAAAGACAAAAAAACAGTATTATTACAAATGAAGAAATGTCTATTAGTAAATACCTTGAGAAGTGACATCATACTTTTCTGCAGAAACTGATTTTATCTCCATTGTGACTTTATGTAGTAATTCAATTACTTGAACCTGCTTCATGAAATCGTGTAGCATTGCTTTTCCACAGCCCCTAAGATAGGCTTCTAGGATGACTGCAAACCTCTGTTGATAATGCATGGACTGGGCAATCTCGCTTCTTAAGAACCAAAACAAGAAGTGACCAATTCTTTTGTTCTAGAGGTAAAGAAAAACACTACACTCAGCATACATTTCTTGACAAAAGGGTTTTAATAATGCTAGTAACTTCAGTGTAAGTTGGCTGTATTTTGAAGTACTTACTCTCAAACCCCGTTTTAGCAGAAATCTGGCTAATGCGCTGTCATGGTATGGCTCAAATTTCACAGCCTGAGTAATACAAACATAGAAGACATTATTAACACATGTAAGATCCTGTTGCACTTGTACTTTACTAATGACATCTAGAGAACACACTGCTGCAGGAGTAAAAAATGTGTAACAGAGCAGGTCTTTCGAGGAAACAAAGTTGAAAAAAACAAAGCAAGACTTCTCTACGTTTGATTCAAGAAGCACTTTTTCTTTGCAACACGTTCTTTCCAGGTATATTATCAATGCGACAAATAAAGCAACGCAGGAAGCAGCTAACCAACGAGACTGACCTGAGCACATGAAGGCAGGTGAACAAAACCACCGTTCTCAGGCTGTAGCAAAACCCGGCAAGATCAGAAAACAGTCTGCAGTCTGACTGACACTGAGAAGGCTTGAAAAGATTATTGCCAAATTAAATGACTTATTTGTAACCATTTTTAAATGAAAATTTTCAATAACAAAGCACTGGTTTTTGACATCCACCACTTCCGGACTGGGACACCAGGGCTCACTGCTGAGTTCCCCAGCAAGCACGGGATACAGGAGCAGCTCTTCAGAGCACCTAATCTCAGGCATTCTGGCCTTTAGCCCCTAAATGAATGACAAAACAGAATAAAGGCTCTGATGCACATCCTATATTAATGGACTACAATTAAGAGGAAGACTTCACTAGAACTTTCTTTTTAATGACTCTCTGAGCACAGATGTACTTTTTCTCTTCCAACAGCCGCTCCCCTCCAGCCAAGCCCACAGATATTTCCAAGCTACTGCCAAAAAAGGCTGGAAACAGGAAGTCAACAACTTTTTTGAAGTGCCAGGATTGGAATTTTTTTGCTGTTACTCTCTTCCCCATCCCAAACCCCAAGTGTACTGGTCTACCAGAAAACTATTGCACTTCCATGTACTGGGCTGAGCCAGGCAACTTGTCCACTTCAAGTGGTTTTTCCAGCAGCTTCTTTCCTACTGATTAAGGGACTCAAGTCTTAGGATGTTTGTATTAAGATTAAGGCGGAGGAAAAAGGTATGCATCTATATCCCATGGCAAGAAAAGAGAAATAAGACGCATACGATCTTTGGAATAGAGTCACAAAATCCCTGTCATGGACTGAGAGGGTTGGTGAATGTCTTCAAGTTCTGGAAATACAGTGCCAGGAAGCAGCAAGTGGGGAGATTAAGGGAAAACAAAGGGATGTGCAGAGAGCTGGGTGCATGTAGTACACTCAGCTTTCAGAAGCAACAAAGTATGCAAACCTCTAGCAATAGTTATTCAACAGAATATAATGGCTCTTTCAAGATCACCGTGGTCTGCAGCTTGCAAAGAAGCAACCAAGCCATCAGCAGAGGTCTACTAAATTCATCAAACAAATCACAGGGTTTTATAAACTCTTAAAAGTACGGCAGCACATAGTTGTATTTTTTTATTATTAAAGTATCTTCACTATTTCTGAAATGTAAATCATCCTGTGAGTTTATCCAACATGGAAAAAATAAAATTGAGCTTTTTCAGTCAACCTTCTGGAATGAACCAACTTACAAAAATGTTATGAAGACTTTTTCTTTCCAGCTATTGGCTAAGAGACAGACAAGAAAGCCAAGCAGCAGGCTTGTCCTTCTACAGTATCATAATTCTGCAAGAATTGTCTTGACTGTCTCTGCAATACTGTTTTATTTCCCCAGGCAACACTGTCTTATTTAGGAAAAATAATGAGAACTCACAAACATAAACTGATTTTAAAATATATAGATCCTTTTACTTCGTGTATGAGATTATGAGGTATGAGGGTTTTTTTAGTAAAAATTAATTTTCACTGCAATAAGGCACCCAAAGGCAATAATTATTACATAAATTCAAATGGATTTGCTTACAGTTCCGAGAAAGACTATTAAAAACCTCATTCTGGTATCTATTTTGCTGAATGTTCTCAGTGCATATCCCTGAAAAATTTAATAATGAAATACAGCCAAACAACTAGCCAGTGCTTCAAAACAAAACCTCCTTATATTAAGGTTGCAAATATATTTTAATATAAAAGAGTATTAGAAAAATGTATGACAAACATCCCTATTATGCTTATGTTTTAGAAATAATTATTTTAAAAAGTCAATTCCATTTTTCTTTTTTCTTCATAGAGGCAAATATCAACATTTGAATAGCAACAATAAAAGCTAGCCATTAAAAAAGTCTGCTGCCACTTCATCAGGTCCCTGCATGTACCTTTGCCTTGTCAATTCAGCAGGAGGAGAGCTGTACTCACTGCTGCATACAAGCAGTTGTTGGTGTTTGTTTTACAATGGATTTTGTTGTATTTTAACTATCCTATTGATGTTTTATCAACTGCACAGGGAAGAACAGACCTTTACAGGAAGCTCAATACGTTTATTTATGATATGGCTGCTTGTATTTGGAATAAACCTGGGGGGAAATAAAATGTTTGTTTGATTTCTAACTCTACTGGGAGGTAAAATGGGAATATCCTGTGCAGAGTAAAATAAGCCATAAAGCTTTCATGAAGGCATGCAAGTGAAGAGTGATGACTCTCTGCAGAAGACACATCTTGGATATGTCCATTAGAGCAGAGGAACAGCTGACATCCATTCTCTGAAAAATGTGGATTTCCAAATACACTGTGGTACCAATACTTTGCTGCAGGATGCTGATGGCCTACGCTCTCTTCTTAGCCGAGGAAGGAAAGACAAGGAAGCAGCAGAGAGGTAAAATTTGGGATCTAGTATTTTTTTCCTTTTTGGGGATGGCAATCTTTTAATTTCTTAATACATTTCTTACTAAAAATGACACAGTGAAGTTAAGCTACTATGCTTTTATGCTACAGTAATTTACTGCTAGATTTATTGTTTTCAAAACTCTCCAGATTTGTACTTCCTGTAAAGAAACAATTTTTAAAAAAACCCCAAAACTTCCCCCATTCTCTCAGGCACTTTGATATCAACCAATCACCATCCCAACCCCCTAATTTGGATACAAAAGCAAATAAAATTGCTGAGCCACATGCAGACAGCAAAAGCTCACAAGCCAAGCATATACTTAGCAGCAGCTATGTGGGAGGCCCAATGAGGTAACCGTAGCAGCTTCTATGGTTAATGCAGAAATGCATAAATTCTGCCCGGGGAGCCTAATCTTCAGACAAGCAAAGACAAGGCTAAAAAGGCCTTGTTTAAAGCACTATTGATGCGCAGCAAAATCCGAAATACTAACTTAATTTTCCTGGGAACCTGGGCTCTCTCTGAACCCGCAGACATTAAAAGCCCCATTCCACAGGTTCCCAGGCTGCAGCAGTTCCTTTTTTTTTTTTTAGATTTTGAATGCCAATTCTGTCCTCCAACAATTCTTTGAAAAAAGTATTTCCTGCTCTGTGGGGTGATAGGCTTTCTGCACAAACCAGAGCCCTTTTGGGCGTGGGAAGCCTGCAGAGTCGCCTTGCTTCAGGGGACGCGTTTACCAGGAAGAACCACAGGGTTACACCTTTCATCAGCCATCAGACATGACTTTGCCGCTGACAGACTGCCCAGCTCTGGCACCGCATTGTGAAAAAGCAAACAAACCAATTTTCTTGTAAAACTGACATAAACTTTCCTGATGTTTCATCTGGAAGATCGCACACAAAGTGCTTCAAATTGATACAGCAGTGATTCATTGCCATTAAAAACACAATTTTTCACCCAACTTCCCAGAATGAATTAATCTTATTATGGAATCCTAGCAACCCTTTATTTACTTCTAAAATTTTTTTTGGAGCTTCTAGATAAATTTGGTCCCCTTAACAATACAAGATTGAAGTCATTGCCACATACCATGTAACTACACTGTTATTCTTGACCTAAAACCCAACCCCAGACCTTTCTTCAGGCCTTGCCTGTGTCAACATCTGCCTTTACTTTCTTTCTGTCTACAGTCTTTCTAAACTATTGGTAAAGCTGGTCAACAATTCTTCAATGCTATGTGATTCAGACCTGATGCGAACAGGATTAGAGACCGCACAGTTAGGATTTCCTCCCATCATAGTTGTGCTAGTATTAACAATTTCCAGAAAAACATAATCCTGTAATCGCAAGATGCAAATGGTAAGACACAAGGCAACAGTAACACAAGAATAACAACATAGGCAAAAGGCAAAATGTAGAAAGTGTATTTTGAGTTAATTTGGTTACTACCACTGTTCTGACTAAACACTGAAGACTTCAAAACCAGGGCTTACTAACTAGACCTACTAAGGTGGGTATGATGATGGGGTAATGCAAACATTCCTGGAAGGCAGAGTTCAGGAATGAGAATACACCTTACCTGCACAAGCTGTAAAAGATAATGAAGAACATCATCATCTTCTAAACTTTCCAGTTTTTGAACTGCCATTGCTCGGACATTTTCATCTGAAAAGTTACAGTCCAGAAGCTGCATTGTGAGTCCAACATCTAAAGTGCTTTGATCCCAAACCTCCTTCTTAGCTAGCAACTGGTATGTTTTGGCCACTATTTCTTGTTGTCCCCACTTCACAGAGCTAAGCAGCTTAGGGTACGCCTTGGGGTGCTTTATGCTTTCATATCTAAAGTGCCACAACAGTTCTTTGTCCTCAGGAGAAAGTGGATTAAGTGGGTCAGTTGCGATGATCTCTTCAAGTTGCTTGCGAAGCTGGTTAGGCATTTCAGCTCGTGTCCTATCCCCTTGGGGGTCTGGTGTTATCCTGTGCTTGGGCAAGGCAATTGGGTGACAGTATTTGTCCAGCACGATAGAAATAGCCATTGAGTTTTCCTTATCCGGGTTAGTTGCTGATGTGAGTTTGTCCGCATTGATACTTCCTTGTTCTTCCCCCTTGCCTGGAATTTTCCACATGTGGAGCACATACTCCCCACTTCGTAGCAGGAAACGGTGATCTATCAACAAAAGATTTACATAATAGAGAAGCTGAGTTTTGCATTTTGAATCAGAGTTGGGGGATTCATGTGACTGAAGGTTCGTCTTTGTGGATAGTCCCTGTGCTTTGCCACAGTATATCTGAAGATTCAGGAGTGCTCCTTTAGGCAAATCCTTGATTTTGATATCAAACTCCAACCAAATATTCCACAGAACCTCCTCAGTAAAAGGCTTTGATGAAGTCCTCCTCTGTGACAGAAGCTGTTGCCCGTGCTGAATGTTAGCCTCCACAAACACAGTAAGATCGGTATTTCTTGGTAAAATTGGGATATCAATGCCAATTATTTTCACCCTAAATTTCCTATTACAATCCCACAAGGAGATAGTGAAAACTCTCTCATGATCTTTTCCATCTATTGTCAATTGTTCATGATACCCTGTAACTCCCGTACAGTCATCCACCAAAGGCCACTCTTCTTTCTGAACCTCATCCTCATTTGGGTCAGGGGGATTGTCTAAGACAAGGTGGATTTCTTCCCCATTCTTAAGGCATTGTCTTATCCAGTGAAAATCTTTGATTGGTGTCTCTCCAGTAATGTACTCATCTCTGCCACAAATCCTGAGAACAAAATCCAGTTCACTATGATCTTCAGGAATGTCCATCAAAGACTTTTTCTTTGCCATTTTTGTGAAAAAGCTGTGGAGAATCATATCTGGAGTGTCATCTATTGACACTTTAATTTTTTGGCTAGTTGTTCCTCTATGTATGATTATGAAAATGTTATTATTAGCGATCTTTTTAAATAAATATTCTGGGAGTGGCTTAGATGTGGTCCATGGGTGCATTGCATACAATTTAGGATCTCTACAGGCTACCTCTATCATTCGTGGAGTGACTAATCTGCGACGGGTAAATTCCAGTTCATCATCATGTACATTGCTTACATCAGTGACGTCATAACCAATTAAATCGTTAAGCTGCCGCTGAAATTCCTGAACTTCTTCTGATGGTTTTTGTTTCTGGACAACATAGATCTTGCCTACCTTTTTCTGTAACACTTTCCAGTACAGTATGCAGTCCAATGTCTGTAATACTTGATGTTTATCATAAATTTCATACCATTGCCCTTTCTTCTGATACTGCAGAATAAATTGATCTGGGGTAAAGGCATGGTAGAAGTCTGTGGTTTGACTCATCTCTATTGCACGCATCCAAATCTGTGCTTTCATTTGCTCAACTGTACAGTTGCCAGCTATTTCGAGTAACATCATTTCCGGTACTTTAGTATGTTTGTTGCTTGTAGGTAAAATGAACTCAATGGATATTAGTTCCATTGATGACAAATTACTCGATGTGCAGTGAGGTTTCATTCTTCTTCTCCTTCGTTTATTTTCCTCTCTCATAACAACGGGCTGTTCATAATCCCCCAACTCCATGCCAGAAGAAATCTAGCAAAACATACAAATACTTGATTACTTTCTCATTACATTTTTCTTTACTCTTATTTTTTAACTCTTCTTAATTAAAATCACAGGCCAGTCAAAATCCTGCTAAGTATATGCTTTTTCTATTTCCCCTTCCCCTTAATTTCTGGTCATAAATACTAAACCACCTCAGACGTCATCTATTCAATTCAAAACCAAATATAGAAAAACAACCACCCAATGATTAAATAATTAAAATAGAGCTTTTAAACAGCCTTCCCAGATTTCACCGAGAATAAGCAGTCTGACTATACTGATTTGTTCATGCTTCTATTTGATCAAGCCCTGATTCTTCTGCTGCCTCATTTGTTTTGATGCTGTTGATGTTAACATAAGTGGATTTTCACAGAAATCAAGACAGGTTACTGTGTATGAGCAGAACGTGATCCTACTGAGCTCCAGCAATGACAGAAAGTAACAAAACAAGGAATTTATTTGCAGACTGGACAGAGGTAAGCCTATTCCCATTTTCCTCTGCCCCTCTTTTTAGTGATGAGGAATAAGGACTTACACCAAAAAAAGCCCTTGGGATCCAGAAGTCAGGGACTACTTCTAAAGACAGATATTTAATCTAAATTCAAGCCCAGTATCCTTAGATGTGGTCCTTTTAAATAAATCAATTCATCAGACTGAAAACATCCATCCATTTTAAATGTAAACACTTCCAGTCTTAACTATTAGCTTGTTACAGAGGAAAAAACTCCTAAATTAATGCTGATTTGTTACCTTACACATCAAATCATGCCTAACACACCTGTAAAACAACTTCAAACACGAGTGGCCTACCTTATCAAGCTTTCAGTAAACAAAAAATATTGTTGCTCACAGTTAATCTCTATTGAACAATATTAAAGTGGAAATTTTTCAGTGAGAGCTTGGAAGAGGAAGGCAGCGCTGATTCAGCACACTTGCATAAGCTGCCCCATAGAGTTTTCTTTCACTAAGTTTAAGTTACAGCGACATACTGAACATCTTTTCCAGACAACGCTTTTTACACATCTTCCTCTAACTGCTGGAAAAAAACCCAACAATGCAGTGATGCCTTAGCAGATAACAAAACAAGAAGATACAAATATAAAAGGTTAAACTGAAACAACACAGCATGCTAACCAAAATTCTCTTTTCAAGTTCTGGAAAGCACCGACTGTGGACATACCACCTCTATTATTGACAAAACACAAGGAAATATTACCTGATTATAAAATAAAGGATGAATTTCTGAAGACGACTCATTTGTTTAATTTTTGAAGTTCCTATTTTTTTAAAGGAAGATCATTCACACAAAAACTTCTTTGTTTAAGCTGTTCTGCTTTTCTTGCTCGCCCTCATATCCAGATGCAAAGGAAGTGCTGCACTTACCAGGAAGGAAGTTTTAACCAAGTTGATTATACATATGATTGCTCATTTAAAAAAAAGTCAGAACGCTTTTCCTGTTACAACGGTAAAAATACACTAACAGAACACCAATTCAATTTTAACACACATGCATAGAAGACATGCTTAAAGCCTTTTAAAAATAGCTAAGAATAATGTGGGCAATAAATCTAACGAATCAAAACAAAACATTTTAATGGAGAGGCTAATATAAGAGTTAAATAAAAACACTAAATAAAGGACAACTAAATCTGCAATGTTCCCTTATTTTTATTTTCACGGTGATAGCCCTTTTAGGACTCCCAACTTAAATTAATTTGATTTTTTTAAGCCAGTCTCCATACAGGTGTTACATGGAGATGGCCAAGGATCTTGTACGGTAACCTCAGCAATAGAACTGTGAGGCAATCTTCCTCATAGTATTTTTAACCATCCATTTATGACTACAAACACACAGTGAAATCCACTAGAAATGATGACTTAAGATTCAGGAAGAATTTAAACCATGGACTTTCAACCCTAATTCTTGTGGTTAACTACAGCCTGAAGAGCTGTTCCTTTACTAAAAAAGAATTCCCACAAGAAAAAATTTGGGAAAGCACATACAAATAGAAAGAAAAGACAGAAAAACTTCTAATCATAACCTTTTTCTTTATGACTTTTCAAGTAAAATACTGACCATTTTGAAGACCAATAAGCAGTACACATCGTACAGAGTACATATCCTACAAAAATCATGACTCTTGAGAAGGAGAAAAAAAAATGAAACAACAGAAAGGTCTTTTAGCAACAGTGACGTGGTGGTGTCTTTAAGACACCTTTTTTATTAAAAAGGGGGGGAAAAAAAGCTCCCTCTGTATTGGCAACAAAATCTGATAGTCTCTTAGCTGCTTCCAACATGCCACTCACAACCTCTGAAATTAACACTTTGCCAAGGTTAAAAAAAGAAAATACCCTCTACTATAAACATAGCTCTTTTAGCTAAGACTAATTTCTTTTTAGAGGTTGTTTTTCTCAGGAAGTGAGTTTGGGGAAAACACACTCTGTCTTAGCTCCCTCTACCTTTTAGAGCCAGTATTTGAAATTTCTCAAGGAGGTGGCGAAGTTGCCCTGAACATTTTGTTGCTGCCATGAAATCTACCCATCTTGGCCAAGACATCTCCAACACTCATGCTCCATGCATATGCAGCCTGTCAGCATTCATCAGCCACATACACACCACTTTCCTCTCCGGTCCTCCTCTCATCTGAAAAAAGCACTTGGTTGCTGGAAAACTTGAGCACCTGTAACTTCAACAGCAGCACCCAGGATGACGGAGGAGAAGGAAGCAGTCAGTTTCACATAAAAAGGAAAAGGAGCTGGAGGGGTAGGAAAAGAAAAGGAGCAATGCTGAAGGGGTAAATGTGTTTTGCAAAACCTATGTTTTGAATTCCCTGACTTTGAAGAGCTTGACTCTGCAATGTTTTTGGAGAGTCTGTATTTTGAAGTACAAGCTCTAAAACGTGTAATACAGCTGCATATTTTTCTTCATTTAAACATAAGCAACTAGCAATGAGGGTTTTTTTCATGCCAACAGGCTACATACATTTTTCGCAAATATCTTTCACTCTAAAAGTCATTATGCTGACCCTAGTAAAGTAAAGTAAACCTGGACTCATCAGTTTCATTGGGTTTTGCTGGACGTAAGAAAGCACGCTGGTTTAAAATGTCCTCATCTTTCTGACATGTGATATGCATTTAAAGATTATTTTTTCAAACACATATTCCATCTCCTGCTAAGCTATTCTAGTAGTACTCCATCAATCAAGACCATCAAGAAAATCAAAAGCAGCATCTCTACCTCATGCAGCAGAAAACTATCCTGTACATTGCTGAACAAATGTAATTGTTTGACACTTTCATCCACTTAAAAAGACTGCTAAAGCAACGATGTGAAAGGTTCAAATATTCCCCCACAAACTGCATCAGTTACAATGCAAAATGCATGATGCTTGTGTAACTGCCCATACAAGACTTTCTCTTCTCCCACATTCGTTTGGGCTGCGATCTGCAGTGTCTAGTCCAGTCCAATCCAGATGTCCAACTCCATCTCCAGTTCAGCTGACCTCTTTTCAGGTCAGTTTCAGAAGCCAATTCTTGGAGTGACAACTGTCTCTAATCTGTCTCTGCAACGACAGACACAAAAGTGTCCCCATTCTTAGGGTGACAGCAAATTGTATCTATTTCCTGCTAATCCATTTGAGGGCGTGGCAAAACCATATTTCCTCATGCATATGCATCAGAAAACTTGGATATTTGTAACTAAAAATAATTTAAAATAACTTTCTAAAACCTTTGTCAAGCCCAAGCATTACTCACAGTATCGATGTTTCTATACTCCTATTGCAACACCACCAACAAAAAATTTTAAAAGTCTCACTCTTTTTTATTTCTAATGAGCCTCATCAACACTGAATTTCCCTGTATTAGGAAAACTGTCCTAACACTGGTCCACGAATCCTAATGGGGTGCAACAGAGTGGGAAGAGGTGGGCTTGTAACTAAGAAAGGCAAACAGGCTCACCTTTGTCTCCAGTTGGGTTCCTATCTCATCGCTTAAGTCAGCAAACTGATCATAACAACAACAACAATTTGGTTAATTTTCAGCTGGATCAGTTCCTTAGTCTGACTCACCATTTGCAGGAATGGTAGGGCAAGGGATGGAAGAGAAAGGAAGGGAATGGAGCCAGTGCAGTTTAGGGTAACTGAGACTGAAACATAATTCACAGCAGGATTAGGAGATAAATCAATGAGTAAACCTGTTAAATTATTTGAGAATACTGTTTGAAAGGTGTTTTAAAGAGACAACGTGGTATTGTCATGAATTACTTCATACATTCTGCTACAAAAAAATCCAAGGTATCTCAAACTTCACTGCTTTGTTAGGACAAAAAAACAACCAACCAACCAACCATTTACATTTACAGTTTCAGATAAAGTTAACTTTAAAGATAAATTTAAAAAAAAACCCCAAACTACCATGACAGGACCCAAAGTTTTCCACACGGCATACTACATCTACTTTCCAGCACTGTCCTGTACCAGGAGACTGCTTTGCATTTCCTGGATAGGAGTACAATACATCTTCCCTACATCTAGATGATCCAGTGCTGAACTATGCAGGCAAGATACAGAACTAACATGTTAAACATGAACACAACAAGAAAACCCACTTTTCTCGGTTCTTTTGTCAAATTCTCTAGTGACTAACTAGCTCGCACAGCAATGAAATCGGCACAGCTTCCCATTAGCAAATCAACTTCACAGATAATATAGTCACATTCATCATCAAAAAGTACTAATCAGCAGATATAGCTGAACATCTCCATCAGGAGGTTGCACAGTAAATCTGACAGCTATTATGGCTGCAATGTTTCTAGGACGCCCCTGCCTTCACCACAGACCTTTGCATATTTTGGTTTCTACATTAGGTATCTATTTGGGGGTGTTTCTGGAACAAACAACAACTTCTAGCTGGTTCTGAAAATTTAGGTAAGAATTTGGGCAAAGCTCTAGTTAAGCAGTTAGACAAGGGATAGG